ATAGTGTGAACCTGGCCTCAACAACTGGATGGACCCACTACAGCTTTATCAGACTTAAAAGAAGAGCATCAAAAACACACAATTGTTTATGACATTTTAGAAGATTCTATACTTGTACAACACAGTAAAATATATAAAAAAGCCCTTGTACAATATGCACAATGTTGTTTCTGGATTGGATTGTTTCACAACACATTTTCCTTACACCAACAAGATAGCATATAAGTGGTAGGACGCCATCGTGGATTGGTGCCAAGAAAAGAAAAATTACAGTAGGTATTTTATACAATTTTCCATTTTCCTGACAACAACATGACAGCATACTATCACATGTAAGCTGCCATGGATTGTTACAGTACGTATTTGATACAGTTTTCTACAACAAAAGCAGACTTTTCTGCAGAACCCCCACCAGTACACAAAATAAAATTGATATGTCTTTTTTATTTGGAAGCTAATGGAAAATCATTGGTGCAAGAATTAAAAATCAGTATTGTTAAGAACTGATGGTAAAGAAGAAGGCTGGTAGAGCAGGAATGATAAACAATATACACCCTTCTGTCAATTAAAAAAAAAAAAAAATTATATATGGCCTATACATGTCTGAAATGATTTAGGCCTGTTTTACACATGCTTCAACTTGTAGAAGATCACCGTGAACAGCAAGCTTTTACAAAGCATTTGCAAAGCTTTCAGCAAGCTTTGTTGAAACTTTTAAAGTGCCCTTCAGATCCAGTTTGGAAATGTTATACAAAGATCCGAATGGGAGTACTTATTGCCACTTTAAAAACAAGCTGCTAGCAGGCTTCAGCGCTACTTGAAACCAAAGTGATTGTACTGTTCAATGAATGTGATATATAATAAGTGTGTATCATTTGTATGACTATTGCTGCTGCTAGCATCAAAATGTGTTTCCACATTCAGTGAAGTGAATAATCTGGTAGATGATGCTGCACTGCTAATAACCTAATTGTGTATGCTGCACATAAACATACAATACAAATATCTATTGCATTTATAACATGTATAAATATATAAATGTGTCAGTTCATAAAGTCCACATAAATGTGTGATTATCCAACACCAAAATATACAGTGTTCCAAATTATTATGCAAATTATATTTTTCTCATTTACCTAAATAATTGATGTAAATAACAGTCAGTGAGGGTCTAAAGTTTGAGTCTGAGTTTCAGTGCCAAGCCACAGTTCCTGCTGGTGAGAGGTCCCGTTCCAGGCTGGTCGGACAACAGTTATAGGATACCCCCATGACTGCCGAGCTAGTCTTCAGGTCTCCAACAAACAAACAGACAGATGCCACATCATTCTCATGGGTCCCTGCAATTGGACTTTGCTGCAACACATCTGGAGGTATCGTTGTTAACATCTACACCCTGTTCCAAATTATTATGCAAATGATATTTTTCTCATTTATTTAAATAATTGATGTAAATAACAGTCAGCATAATTCTCATTTTATCAACTATTAAGAGTACATCAAATTTTATTGAACAAACCTCCTAATGATAACAGTGTTTTTGTTAAACATAAAACACTTACAATGCACTGTTCCAAATTATTACGCACAGCAAGTTTCAAAACACTTTATAGGTTGTAAAGAACTGAAAATTGTCATTTGTTGTGTTTGCAGCGTATTTACTGAAATCAAAAGCTATTTCAATCAAACTTTTAACAACATTTTAACTTTTTAAACATTTTAACAGGTCACGTTACATTGTAACATAGGACCCCTTATTTGATAGCAGGTTCACAAGTCTTGCATCCATTGAACTTGTGAGTTTTTGGACAGTTTCTGCTTGAATTTGTTTGCCAGATGTCAGAATAGCCTCCCAGAGCTGCTGTTTGGATGTAAACTGCCTCCCACCCTCATAGATCTTTTGCTTGAGGATGCTCCAAAGGTTCTCAATAGGATTGAGGTCAGGGGAGGATGGAGGCCACACCATGACTTTCTTTACTTTTATCCCCATAACAGCCATTGATGCAGAGGTATTCTTTGGAGCATGAGGAAGAAAGTGGTCAGTCATAAACTCCACATACTTTGCAGAGGTCATCTTTACACCTTCGGGCCCCTAAAGGGGTTGCCCAATGCAGCTGTTTCTGCTTGTGAGCATTGGTTATTGGTGGCCAAATAGGTTTATGCACAGTTGCAAGACTCTGGAGGACTCTACACCTTGATGTCCGTGGGACTCCAGAGGCACCAGCAGCTTCAAATATCTGTTTGCTGCTATGTAATGGTATTTTAGCAGCTGCTCTCTTGATCCGATGCATGGATCTGGCAGAAATCTTCCTCAATGTGCCTTTATCTGCACGAACCCGTCTGTGCTCTGAATCAGCCACAAATTTCTTAATAGTGCGATGATCACGCTTAAGTTTTAGTGAAAAATCTAATGTTTTCATACCTCGTCCAAGGCATTGAACTATTTCACTCTTTTCGGGAGCAGAGAGATCCTTTTTCTTCCCCATATTGCATGAAAATGGTGCTCTGCTTAATAATGTGGAACACCCGCCTTTAGTAGTTTTTCCTTAAATTGGGCTCACCGGCCAATCTAATTATCACAGGTGTCCAAGATTGTTTTCAGTGATCAAAAGAGCCCTGACACACAATGCCATCCATGAGTTAAACTGAAAAACAAAATATTCAATCTTTGTGACACTTAAATAGAATTTGCATAACAATTTGGAACACAGTCTACTTGCTCCTTGTTGACTTCGCACAATACAGTGCCACCTCTGTGCTCTCAGAAGTCTCACCTCCAAATCTATATAATCATGTGTGTATATAACATGCCATCCAGATTCCACCAACTCCTCCTCCAGACCACTAGTGGCTTTTCACTCCTTTCTAACATAAAACCAAAATGGAAGGGAGGTATGGTGCCTTTAAGCCTCTTATGCATTCATATGGTCGCCTTTACCTTAACCACATGAAGAGAGAGAAATGCACCTCTTATGGTGTAGTATGATTAAAAATTCCAGTGTTTATTAAAATAAAATACTGCACTTACTTTTTAGAAGATACACAATTGCTTCTATTACTGAAATCTCAATATGTGCTTCCACATGACATCACTGGTTTAAGTCTGCCTCCGTTTGCATCCTACGCGTTGCGTCACTGGGGGTGGAATCTGGATGGCATGTTATATACACACACGATGTCATAAACTTGGAGGTGAGAGTTCTGTGAGCACAGAGGTGACACTAAATTGTGCGAAGTCAACAAGGAACACGTATATTTTGGTGTTGGATAATCACGCATTTATATGTGGACTTTGTGAACTGACGCATTTATATATTTATACATTTTTGAATGCAATAAATGTATATATTTGTTTGTATTGTATGTTAATTTGGTTATGTGCAAGCGGCATACACAATTAGGTTATTAGCAGCGCATCATCATCTACTAGATTATTCACCAAAGCCCTGGTAAGTTCCAGGCAGCAGCAAAGTTTACAGAAAGAATCAAACACCAGTGCAGTCACATGGAAAGGGGAGTAAGTCACATGATGCATGATACTTGGAAGTACAGGGTATTTCACTTCACTCCTGGAGGCAAGAATGTGTAGAGAAGGTTTGTGCTGCTAGTGGGGCCATTAGTAAAATTAATATTTACCTTTGCCCTCGCTGGCTTAAAGAACCAATTTAGAGTTCGGTTTAAGGAAATGTATTCATAGATACCTTATAGAGGCAAATAACAGTAAATTAATCTAACACTGTCTTCATGGAGTGGCAGTGAGTGCAGCTAAATATACAAAGCTGTCCTCTGCAGGGCTTAAAGACAAAGCACATCTAGGATCCCAAGATCGCAGATAGTATATTAAAGAACATCTTCTGGTAAACCGCATTGTATAGACAAATGATTATAGCTGAACATTGCCCATTGGAGTAGAATGAAAGCTTCAAAAAGTCTAAGGTGCAACAAAACAAAAGAGGTCATGACAAAATGCATTATTTTGCTGACTTGTCATAATGCTTATCACAAAGGACAAGTTATTAAAGTGGAACAGTCAACTTTCCTGATACACAAAGTACACTGTGGACCAGAACATAGAGGGTATCTATGTTTCTCAATACTTAGAAGGGATGCTCTGAAAGGATTAAACACTAAGGGACATAATTATAAAGCAGTGAATCTGACATTCATTGTAGGCGAATCTTTTAGGTGCATGGGTTTTAAATTAATAACTGATTCAACACCAGTGTATATTTAATGAGCGTAATGATCACTGCTTCATAAATATGCCCAATTATACTGAAGTAATTTGCAGGCATTGATGTAACATTCAACAAGCCACACACTTGCAATATACTGAAGTCCCCTGCCCTGGAACCAATGTGAATATTTTGTGGTGTGATTGTCACTCATATTTGATTTAAAGCGGAATTAAACATTCATATCACTTTGCAGGGAAAGACTTTGCCATCTTGCCACACTGGCAGCTGTGACAGTGAGGTATGTATTGAAGGTAGTGTTCTCACCGCACATGCATTTAGAATGTAGTGCCACACATATTAGGGCCTCTGGAGGAAGAGCTTATGGTAAAAGACTTAATTTAATAAAGTTCCTTCATTACATATGAATTGGTGGTTTTCTCTAATCACCCAAAGTAACTGCTACATACATTTATAAGAAAACGACATAGGACGATTGCAACAAGTGAAAATAACTTGGCAGCAGATGATACAGTTAGGACCTACAAATTGTTTTATTGTCCATGTTTCAATTAAAGGAACGTTTATTTATAAAGGGCAAATTTGGTCTGCCCTGCCTTAGGCTGGAGAGATTTATTATCCTATCAGCATGTCAGCCCTTCTGTATGTGAGAGGACTCGGGTGAAGGACCCTTTAGGATCTACTGATAGGTAAACAAGTCACTGTCATTAGTCTCTTATGTTCAGGATACATTTTATCCATATAAAATCCAGGATACAAAGCACTGAAAAGTGCTGAGCAACACAAGATACGGTCTTCAGATACAGCTCAAGCAAAGATGGTCTCTTCTCTTCTCTTCTTGGTAAGGATGGTGCCAGGCTTGTGCTGTGCATCGGGATGATTAGCCAGCTCAGGTGGGCATGAGGACACTGGGCTTTCAAGGATGGCTTGTTTGAGGTCATAGAAGACAGAAGAATCTTCTTTTGTGAGGAACGTGATGGCAACACCGCTCTTACCAGCTCTACCGGTTCTACCAATACGATGGATATAATCTGTGTAAACAGAAACACAAAGTGAAGAAAAATAACCAACTGTACAACATTGGGCTGAAACAACTAATCGACAATCGATAAAAATAGTTTAGAAAAATAGTTGTCAAGAATTTTCATTATCGATTAGTTGGTCAGCCAATTAATTGGCCTGCATACAGAATGCATTATTTGTTTACATATCAGAAAATACAATGCAGAACACTTTTATACATGTCAGTATACACAGTGCAGCACACATGCAGCTCGGTACACCATCCATACATGTCAGTAAGTGCCTGGGAACTTGTAAATGTGAGAGGAGCAATGCCTTTAGAAGACAATTAGTCCAGGGAAGAAGGAAGTGATTTAAAGTGATTCTAAAGGCAGAGGTTTTTTCACCTTGCTATAGGGGCAATCTGAAGGTAGGAAGAGCCAGAAGTGCCGGTGGGGGACCCCAAAAAAGGAGGATTAGGGCCGCTCTGTGCAAAACCATTACACAGAGCAGGTAAGTATGACATGTTTGTTATTTAAAAATAAGCCAATGGTTTACAATCACTTTAAGGGCTCTGTGCAGGTAAAATAAGCATCTGAACCCAGAGAAGCTGGGGGCTGATAGACTGAAGGTAATATAAGGCATTACAAATAAATTTAAAGTAAAAAAGTTTACCAGTATTCTGCATTATATTTAAAATGAGTATATACATGCAAAAAAGTCTCAGCCTTTAGTATATCTATCTATCTATCTATATATATAAAAGAAAAAAAAACCTTTCATTGTTTCACAGTATACGTTAACCCCCTTATAGTAGCGACTATCTTCTGTTATTGCACTATAGAGGGCTAATTTTTGTTTTGTTTTGTAACCGCATCATGACAGGTGATACAAAAAGCATGCTGCTACTACTAAATGCCTTAGTGATGGCAGATGCAGGTAGCTTGTATCATCTACATTCCTATGACAAGGGAGTCTGTCATGAGAAATTTAATTTTTTTTTCTCTTCGAATAAAAATTTCAATCTCTCTCTAATGATGTGTAACAGATTCAACCTCTAATAGTATATACACCTTTTCTGTCTGTTATTCTCAGAGTGGATTAGATATTTAGTTCTAACTATTGCGCTGCTTATTTAGATTTACCATTACATATAGATATTCAAATATAAATTGTGTTTTTTAAACTTTACATATTAACTAAATTATACACCACACTTTTTTTAAGTTTTTAGCCAATTAAGTGATAATAATCGGCCAACTAATCGATTATGAAAATACTTTTTAGTTGCAGCCCTAGCACAATGTCATTTTGGTCAGTTTGGATCACAAGATTTCTAATATCACACAATTAAACTCTGATAGGAAAATGAAATTTTAACTCCAGAGCCTCTTCCATATATCATTTCACGGTCTCAGTAGTTCAGAAACAACTTTGTTTTTACTTGTGACACAGAAGTGAAACAAATATTGTCTTTTTGAACCAATAATGTTATCTTTTGGTATACTGTCTTGCAGTGTGTGCATAGAACACTGATGTTATAACTAGATGTTGCAGTGTTTGGAGACTAAAATACCTCTGCTTGTAGGCTCTGATACACAGAGTGGAATCTCAGCTGTCAAAATGAGAACCGGTCCAGGACATACATGTTCTAAAACCCTAACCAGTAAAGTTCATGTCCCATCTAGCCAACACCAATTATGTTAAGTCATCAGTAATAATATATGTTTGTAACATGACAGAATAAAGATAAAGCACATACCTTCAATATTTTTAGCCATATCGTAGTTCACCACCATGGACACATCCTGGATATCAATACCTCTTCCAGCCACATCAGTGGCAACTAGAATATCTTTAGCTCCAGCCTTAAGGTTAGACAATGCAAACTCTCTCTGCTCTTGGCCTTTACCACCATGAAGAGTACAAGCATTGTACTAGAGAAAAAAAAAAAAAAAAAAAAACACACAGTCAGGAGATTTCCAATGCCTTAAAGTGTTACTAAACCCTCAAAGGTAAAATCAGTCTGTATGTGCAGTAAAGCATGCTTGATATACTCACTGTGGAACCTAAAGGGTTAATTATCTACATTGTGTAAACATGCTGTTTGATCCTGACTTCTCTGATCCTCCCATTCTTCCAGTGTCTCCCTCCTATCTCCTGATAAGACATAGTGTAGAGACACTGCACATGCTCAGTTTGGTGTGTATTGCTAGAGGTTTTTTTTTTCTTCTTGGGAAAGTGCATGTAATCAGCACAGGGCCAATCAGCATTGCCCTGACAGAGGTCAGAGGTTCTGCATCCTCCTAGAGAAAGCTCTTCCTACAAGCTTTAAGCAGTGCTCTGCTGAACACTGATAGAAGTCACAAGACTGCTAACGAAAAAAAGTATTTAGCAGTTTATATTTACTAAAATTGCACTTCCACGTTCTGTGTACTGTGGGAGACCAGATGTAGTGAATACAGGGTCCTGGGTTTAGTAACACTAACACTTCATCAAATTACTTAATGTAGTTTTATTGTTGAAGTCATCATGTGTATTTAAATATGGCAGCTTGATTTTATATTGGAGAAAACAAATGCAATGATTAGACCTAACCTTTATATGGCAATTTAAATACATAAATGAGCAAAACGTGCTTCAACCAATAAAAGTTACTACATATACATATGTCATTTGAATCCCTGTTGCTAGGTGTAATATACATACCCCCATCTTTTCAAGGGACTTGGCCAAAACATCACAACCTTTCTTCTGGTTGACAAAAATGATGATTGGTGGGTCAAATCCTTTCTCAAGGATGGCAAGAAGCTTCTTCCTAAAATAAGAACAACACTCAAACATAAGCTAAAACAGGACATATAATAATGGAAAACTAAACATGCCATATGTTATTTGTATACTTGCAGTGACATCGCACGATTTCTAAGTTGGGTGACTTGACAATCTGAGGTGCGATTTGCAAGACATCTGACACAGATGTCTATGCAAATCACAACAAAAGTAGTGCATCTACTACTTTAGAAATCGGTGCGGCTCTGACCAAGTCAGAACCGCACCCATATGACCACTCTAATAGCGGACAATAGGGTGCAACTTGGCATACGACTTGCAAGTCGAATGGCATACAAATCGCATGCCAAGTCACACCCGATGTGACCGGGGTGTAAAGGATTTTTTCACTTTCTGATCCAGAAATCAGACTTAAAACAGGGGATATCCCCAAAACCCAATCATAGCCATAGATCCATGTTTTGCTATTAAAAACTAGTTGGCCTATGTTCAAGGAACAGATGTGAATGAGTTATAATCTACAACTTCTGTTTCAACAGGTGCCTGTAGAGAAGGGCAAGGCAGAGTTGCCAACACAGGGGGGGTTCTCAAAATAGGAATGGACTTTTTAAAAGAAAGGCAAGTTTTTTTAATGCTAAATGGTGCTTCATAACCAGGAGTTGGCTTAAATTCACTTTACTCAAGAACAAAACCTCACCTCTTTTCAGCTTCAGACATGAGGAACACTTTCTGTTCAACTCTTTCATGTGGTTTACCAGCCGAGCCAATGTACACCACTGCAGGCCGCCGCAGATAGCTTCTGGCCAGCCGCTCTACAGCTGGAGGCATAGTAGCTGTGAACATGACTGTCTGAATAAAAAAAAAAAAAAAAAAAAAAAAAAAAAGCACAAATTAATTTGAGGCAATGAACCTGAATATATAAAAACCCGAAATTCTACTTGACTTCCACATGAACTCACTTGTCTGTACTTGTGCTTTCCAGACTCAAAGTTGGCAGTCATTTTTTCTGGGTCTTCTGCTTCATCTGTGTCTGGCTTCTGGTTGGTAACTGGCATGTGCTCCAAGATCTTCTGGACATCTGGCTCAAAACCCATGTCAATCATACGGTCAGCTTCATCCAGTACTACATATGTACAGCGGCTCAGGACTAAGTAGCGATTTTCTAATACGTCTATCAGACGTCCAGGAGTAGCAATCACAATCTTCAATTTGAGAAAAAAAAAAAAAATCACTTGTGAATGAATAGTTAGCAAAAAGAAAATACTTACAGTGACTAATGCCGGTGTCTTCAGTTATGTATTATGGAGGAAAACACTCTACATGAACATTTTGTTTTAAATGCACTTTCTGTACAGATCATCTGGTCTTGTCCTTGCAGTTTGTACAATAAATTAAACACAATATATTTTTTTTACCAGAATCAGGGTGTTCAACATACTTCAGTCTGCAGCATCTCTGCCTTTCTTGTCTACCAAGTGTACACTCTAGTGGCAGGTGGGAGCAACTGCAGGTTGTACACACACGATGAGACCGCAGTATGCATATAACATAAATCCTGGCAAGACTGGTAATGATTTAGTTCGATCCAGGCCAGGAGAATATTCTGTACTGAAAAATGCAGATGCCTTTTAACCCAAAAGTACTTAGTGAATGGCACTAATTCTTATTACGGCATTCTCCCTGTGTATGGCCATCAGTACAAGGTATAGAGAACAGGAGATCATTGCTCTCTATGGTTGCCACTAGCACTACAGCTGGGGAACCCAAAGACTGTAAGAAAGCACCGCCCAAGTCTATATATGCAAGCATAGCGAGCAAAAAAAGAAAAAAAGTTGATAGCCATAGAGAGCAATGGTGTGTGTGTAAAATATACACATATATATATATATTCACACACACACACACACACGCACGTGTACCTTGGTGTACAAATGCCTCAGTCAACATAATTTTCGGTTTACTAATGAAAATCCATTGAAAATAATGCCTCGGTTTACAAATTTTTTACAAACTTTTTTTTTTTTTGCAATATGAAGTGCATGTTAGTGACGATTTTTGAATGCAATTGCCCGCTTTTTTTTCTTTCTTCACTATAGCTCACAGAATTAGCTGTCACTTTCCCCCCAGTTAAAGGAAACTTTGTTTCTTTTAACAAACTAATAGGAAACATAGTTTCTTTTAACTCAAAGAAATAAACTAAAAGGAAACTCTCTTTCTTTTAGCTGGGGGAAAGGTGACAGCTGAATCTCTGAGCTATAGTGGAGAGAAAAAAAAAAAAGCGGTAATTACATTTAAAAACTGGCACCATAATAAATAAAAAAAAACGGCGTGGGGTCCCCCATCCATACCAAGCCCTTCGGGTCTGGTATGGATTTTGAAGGGAGCTCCCATGCCAAAAAAAAAAGGCCCAAAATCCATACCAGAGCCTTATCCGAGCATGCAGCCCGGCAGGTCAGGAAAGGGGGGGGGGGGGGGGGGGGGGGAGGGGGAGGTGTTGGGTGGACGAGCGAGCGCCACATACCCTCAACATGGGGGGGTGCTTTGTCCCCATGTTGATGGGGACAAGGGCCTCTTCCCCACAACCCTGGGCCAGTGGTTGCGGGGGTCTGTAGGCAGAGGGCTTATTGGAATCTGGAAGCTCCTCAGATACCAGCCCCCCCCCCTGGTGACTGAGTATGAGGTACATGGTCCCTCTACTCATTCACAAAAAAAACAAAAAGTGTAGTGTAAAAAAAAAAAAAAAAGACAGGACATGCTCTTTGACAAGTTCTTTATTACAAGAAAAAACTAAAAGAATTTCCCCCGCATTAGAGCCAATGTCAATCACGATGTCCGGCACCAGCCCCAAAAAAATTTTTTAAAAAAAAGGCTCCGCTTCCAACGATGGCTCCCGCCATCTGCCTGTTCCAGTGGTTTGACAGTTCTTAAATAGGTAAGGGGAGGGGCCACCCTGGGACATCATGCATGTGACACCACCGGAGCAGGGAGTTGGCGGGAGCCATCGTCGGAAGCGGAGTTTTTTGGGGTTTTTTTCAAATTAGTTTTTCGGGACAGCGGACATCGTGATTGACTATGGATCTACTGCAGGGACATTCTTTTATTTTTTTTCTTTTAATAAAGGACTTGTCAAAGACAGTGTCCGGTCTTTTTTCACACACTTTTGAATGAGTGAGGGGGACCATGTACCCCTTGTTAAAGGGGCTTCCAGAGTCCAATAAGCTGCCTGCCCGCAGACCCCTAAAACCACCGGCCAGGTGTCACTATAGGTCATTATAACTATAGGTTATTTTCAATGGATTTTCATTCGTAAACCGAAAATTACATTAAACCAAGGCACACCTGTATATTTATATATATATATATATATATATATATATATATATATATATATATATACACACACACACACACATACATACACACATATACACACAAACACATACAGTACTAACTCGGTTTACGAATTTATTTTGTCCTGCAGAACTTTTTGTATAGCAAGCGCCCCCCCCAAACCATACGAGGCCACATGCCCTCAACATGGGGGGGTGCTTTGGGGCGGGGGGGTGCTTGTCCCCATGTTGATGGTATTTTGTTTTTTTTTTTTAATTTATTCATTATGGTGCCAGTTTTTAAATGTAATTACTGCTTTTTTTTCTTCACTATAGCTCAGAAATTCAGCTATCACTATAGCTCAGAGAATAAGCTGTCACTTTCCCCCCAGCTAAAATAAAGTTTTCTTTTAGTTTACTTCCCTGAGTTAAGAGAAACAATGTTTCCTTTTAGTTTCTTAAAAGAAAACAAAGTTTCCGTTAACTCCGGAAACCGAAAATTATGTTAACAGAGGCATTTGTAAACCGCGGTATTGCTGTATGTATACACACACACACACACACACACACACTATAGATTCTCAATATTTAAAGTGGTTGTAAAAGTAAAAGGTTTCTTTTTTTACTTTAGTGCATACTCAGCAATAAAGCGGTAGTAAACACTACTAGCTCACTTGTACCTACAAGGTTATAATAAAGCTTACCTGTAGGTACAATGAATTTCACCTAAACATTTAGGAGATATGCACTACTTTTGCAGCCGTTGAAGTCACTGCTGCATGCACACTGCTCTCTGAAGGGATGCATGCTGTCCCTTTGGAGCGATGTGTCAGGGCTGGGGCTCCTGTGTGCATGCGTGGATGTGACGTCATCACAGCTCAGCCATTTAAACGGCCAGAGCCTGCAAACTTGGAAGGAAAACCTGGTGAAGATGGAAGCCCTGTCAGCGGTGACAACAGGCCCCTGCTGTGCTTTGTTTTAAGGCAAGTCTCTCATAATGTGCTAGTATGAAATGCATATTAGTACAGTATGACATTATCTTGCAGGGGGAGGAGCTAGGAGCACTGGCAGGGGACCAGAGAAGAGGAGGATCAGAGCTGATCTGTACAAAACCTTTGTACAAAGCAGGCAAGTACAACATGTTTGTTATTTCACGAAAAAAAAAAAAAAAGCGTAACAATCAATTTAATGAGGAAAAGGGCCCCATATTATAGTTTATGTTAAACTATAATTATCATTTAAGAAGCACTATGTGGATCTTTTGGTTTGACACAATTACAGGGATGCAAAATGCTGGAGGGTACCACATCTTGCAATGCATTACTGCACATGTTCCCCCTGGAAACAAATGAAGGAGTGTTGACTGATTATTCTTAGTGATTTCAGATCGTCTATTTAAATATGACGATTTTAAAGCAAGCAAAGTTCTGACAAAAAGTTGCAAGCTGCTAAAAACAGAGCGGTTCTAATATGGAGACAGAAATAGATTAGTTCTACACAAATGCATTTCTATGTACATACTGAAACATGGTTACCTTACTTCATGGAAGAAGAAACTGAGAACATTAATATACCAGTTAAACGCTTACCTCGCATCCCATTCGCAGACGGAATCCTTGGTCTTCACGAGAAATACCACCAATAACAGCCACAGTTCGAATACCCAGTGGCTTTCCAAATTTGATGGTTTCCTCCTCAATCTGTTGTGCCAACTCTCTTGTAGGAGCCAAAATAATAGCATAAGGTCCCTGGTCTGATTCCTCAATCCTAAAATCAGAGAAAAAAGAAGCAATACTGATATAGAAGGTTGCATGCCACTGGTACCTCTAGGAGACCCAGTGCTGTCTGAAAATTAAAGTGGTTCTAAATTTGAAATATTTTTACAGTAATGCATTCTCTGCATTAAGGTAAATATGCTGCTACTTGTGACTTCCCTGCCCCATCCTCTCCCAACCACCAAAAACCAACCAGTCTGCTCCACTGTCTACTCCTGTCCCATCTGCAGCACAACTGCTCCCTCTTCTTAATCTCGCAGGGGACACTTAGAGAAAAAGGAGCCATAGACTCCTGCTGCTGTCAAATCCTCTGATTCTATGGATGCACATAGCCGGGCTCAAAAGCGCACCCACAGGGGTGCCCTCTCAGCACTCAGCTTGCTGAGGGGGCACCCACAAGAATGAGGAGTGGACAGCGCCAGCTGGGGACCCAAAAACAGAAGGTAAGGCATTGCAATATCCTTGCCCAGAGCAGGTGAGTATAACAGCTTTTTTTAATGAAGAGAAAAAAAAAAAAAGTTTAGCGTCACTTTAGCAGTCATCTAACCTGTCAATCTTGGGCAAAGTTGTGATCCAGACCAGTAAAGGAATAAGGAAGGCAGCAGTTTTACCACTACCAGTCTCGGCTACACCGATGATATCACGATTCTGCAAACCAATAGGAATGGCTTGTCTCTGAATTGGTGTTGGCTCCTGTAAAATACATAAAACACAAAAAAAAAAAAATGTAGTTTTGATCATTGTCCAAAATCCCAATGATATGATTATACACATACTGCCTTGTGTATTGTAATTCTGGGAAAATAAAGTCTCTTTATAAAATTTTTGACAGGGTAAACATGGCAATAAACCTATAAACAAACTGACACTAATAAGCTGGTATGAAATCTAGCTGCAGGCAGATTTGAACAGTGGCTATCTACAAGAGAATAGAAAAGGGAAGATCAGACAGGTAAGTTAATGACAAGCATTATGACAGATGACACAAACAATCCTACATTAAAGTCTAGTGAGCAAGCTCTTAGCGCCAGTTCACAACCGGATTTCACATCAGTGCACAAGGTTTGAAGCCAAATGGTTCCCGTGCAGTAAGTTTTGACAGCCCATTCATTGGCACTACTTTTGAAAACACACTATACAAAACCACGTTACTGCATTTGCAACCTGCTTTTGGGGAGCTGTTGCTAATGCATTGGCACTTGCATATAGTTCACATGGACAGCTTGATAACCTGTGGTGTGGGAAACACATGGAATGTGCTTTTCCTGTACCAGTTCTGGTGTGAACTAGCCCTAAAAAACTCTACATCTCATAAACATGAGCTGTTCAAATCTGCAAACATAACATACTCACAAATACAAATAGGTGATCAACTACTCCAGACACTCATAACTATGTGATGGATATAACATACTGATATGGTGAGGAGTCCATAAGCAACTAAATTGTAGGGAGAGGGAGAGGGAGGGGGGGGGGGGAGAGACAGAGAGAGGGAGAGGAAGGAGGGGGGGTGGAGGGAGAAAATTAAAATATGTATGCAAGGATATGGAGCTGAAGTTAGTTTTACTTGCTCAGGTATATTTGTGACACACGTCAATCTGTACAGAGGAAGTATGGTGGCTGCCATTACTGAGTTCTTGTTTTGAAAATACTAGTTGCCTGGCTATTTCTATGGGTAAAAAAAAATATTTTCTGGAGCCCAGACATGGAGAAATTACACAGATCAAGTTCTGAAGTCACTTAGATTTTGCTGATACATGTGCTTGTTTTAGGTTAGTGCCTCAGAGTATTGATGTCAGATAATCAAGCAACTAAACAATGACAACCTTTGTATTTCCTCAGATTTGCTTTACACATTACAAAAGGTTATAAAACCATGCACACAGCACTTCAAATATCTGCTTAGATATCCCATTGCACACATAAGGCTGTACAGTAATGCTTCCCACTGGTGACACACCTTGTATCCGCACTTGTCGATAACTTCCAGAATATGTGGTGGCAGGGAGGAGTCAATCCAGGAGCGGATTGGATTAGGAATTTTACCACCTTTGGTTGTAATGCTGTAGTCCTCTCTGAAGATACGCCAATCTCTGTCTGTCATCTCATCCAGCTTTTTCTGAGACCAATGTCTGTCATCCCAGCGCTGCTTGGCTTCTTTCTTCCGCAGCTTACGCAGACGCACTCTGTAAATGTACAAATCACAATGACACCTCTAGAAATTCAGAAAGACGCCCCTAAACAAGAGATTTAACAACTAGGACAATAACTACTACTGTAAAGGCTGTTTAAACAGATAACAGCTTTCATAAGTTCCCATCCATACAACTTTCATTTGGACATCAAAAGCTTTTCCAGAGATTAACACATCAAGCTTTGAAAAAGTCTGCTTTCTACAAAAAACAACCATAAGGCTAATAATGTGTAATTCCAATTATCTCTCTACTGTTTACCTAATGCTAAGAAGAAGCAATAAAGAGGTTATTGGTGTAGAGAACTCTAGTAAACTAACTGGAATTGGGTGTGCTGATATATATATTTACCATTGGCAGTGATGATGTATGAGGATCTTATGACCAATATGGGGAATAATACTGTAAACAACCAGTTGAAACTGGCACAGAAATACACAGCTGACATAGGTCTGAGCTAAACAAGTCCCATTGTTGTTTGCATACTCTTCAAAAACTGGATAGCATTAAACAGTTCATCATACTTTTGTCTTCTGTAGTCCACTTACTCCTCCTGTTCTTTCTCCTCCAATGTCCGCCTCCTTTCCATAAGGTCTCCATAGAACCGAGACTGTTCACGCTTCTGCTGTTTTAGGTCTATACCTGCAATAAAGCCTCGACCAAGGAGCTGAACATGGTGTCTTTCCTTGTATCTAGAAAAATACAGACATGTAGTTGAGAATTCAATTTTGAGGTATGTACAATTTGCTGAGAAGTAATGAAGGACATTCCGTGCAATTTGTTGTCTGGCAGAAAAGCACCTGCAGCTGAATTGCACTAGAAGAAACAGAAACAAAAAACTAGCCAAGCCTGCAAACCTGTTCTAGTATATTCGGGACAAGGCACTACAGCACCCAAATGACAATGTGTGATTTAAAACCACGGTTTAAAAGGGCAGATAATGGGGGTCAGTTTGCCAAGCATGTCCATAAAGTCCCAGGGGGAAAAAGTCACAACTACATAAATTGTGAGAATAGCTTGCTTAGAATTTTCTATTTAAGAATTTAGAGAAGACATTACACACCATAAATACATTTGATGCATTATGCTAAATATTTTGTCCTCTAGGTTAAAAACAGAAGTGGGCTTGTTTTATTAAATCTATGGCCAGAAGTGATCTGGCAAGCTGCACGTCAAATGGGGGTTGGGGTAAGATGTCTCCCATTCCACTATTGCCTTGCCTGCTCTGCTGTTACTATCAGTGATGACACCTACCTCCTATGTTTGTGTGCAGAATGTCAAGTGGGGAAACGTGAATGCGAGTGTCATTTTCACTGATCTCCTTCAGGCTGCAAACTAACACAAAGTGTTTAGTCTTGAACAATTGCTAGTTCAGGGTCACAGTTATGCAGGATGGCAGGGAACAAAGAGATCAAGGACTGTGCCCCAAAATATCCTTCACCCAGCACAAAGCAGAGAGCCATCAGGAATTTGGACATGCCAGTATGAGTCCCCTCACTAGTATTTCACCATCACCACACGCTCCAATGTTCACTTACAAAGGATTGTAATCAATAGAAGTATCTTCTGATGCATCCCATTCAAACACAAACTTCCTGTCATTCAAATGCCGTGTCCGCCTTCTTTTCTTTAATCCTCCAAGGTAACGCTCCTAAAAAAGTGTTAAAGGATCGCTTTAAACATTGCAGACAATTCTCTAAAGAAATGTGTTATTTCTTTAAATATTTACAGTATGTTTATTTGGCTTAGAAAAAAATTCTTCTTGAAATCTGTAACAGTATTTCAAGAAGATCAGTATGGCACACAAGTCTGGATTTTGGCTTCTAAACTCATTACATGATATTGGTTTACTTTTGTCTCCTGCACATCAGGAGACAGGTAAACACTCCTCAGTAATGCTCCCAATCAACATAGTGCCAAGCACATGGGATTCTGAAGTAATGGCATCTTGAGAGTCAAAGTAAAATTACATCAGCAGCATTTATTTACAGTGCAGAAGAAACACATTGCATGCTGCTGTGGACCCTGTATGTGCCATTTTAAGCAATTCCAGTGAGTTAGTACAAGCTATAAAATAGGTTAGACCCTGGCTGTCAGGAAAGTAGTTTTGGGACTCTCTTATGGTGCACCTTGGACATTTCAGAGAAGCTCATTGTCCTTTATCTTACTGTAAGTGAGAAATTGTCTTTTTCCACATTAAAACTACGGGTTTAATACAATGTCTGTGCTTTTGTTTGTGTTCTTCTGCACCAGCTTGGATCACTCCCAGATCCGGGAGAAGCACAATGTCTGTGCTTTTCTGCACCAGTTTGGATCACTCTCAGATCCGGGAGAAGCAGCAGGATTGTGTTTTTCCTATTGCTGGGTCATGTGAGCTGTTATAATATTGACTGCAGCATTTATTTACCTTTATAGCCTGTAGCTCTTTGGTTTTATCCTTTTCTTCTCTGACTTTTATCCTTCCCTCATCATCCTCATTACCATTGTTTTCCCGCTCCATGCGCTCTCTCCGCTCTCGCCTCTCTCGCTCCTGAGGATCCTCTGCAAATTAAAACCAAGATATTTTAACAATGGCCAACCACAGCAGGTCCCTGAGGCCATGTCAGAGATCATGAAATCATCAAATGCATCTCCGCCTAAGCCAAACTGTGGAAGCCTTGTGTTCATTTAAAGAATACTACACTCCCTGTGAATGGCTGAGTGGAGCTCAGCCCCATTCAATTTTGTCCCAGGAGTGCGACAGGCAGTTCTGGCCCTGCTGAAGGAACACAGTGCTATATACTGTATGTAGATGAGGCTACATATAGTTTATACAGCACTCCCAGCTACTGCAACTGAACTCCAAATGAACTATTTAAAGTGGTTTTAAAAGTCTTAAGGTTTTATACCTTCATACATTCTATGCATGAAGGTAAAAAAAAACTTCTCTGTGCCGCAGCCCCCCCAGCTTCCGCTATTACTCACCCTAAGCCCCCTCTTAATCCAGCGATGTGCACTGGAGTCTCGCTATCCCAGGACTCCCTCTAATTGGCTGAGACAGAAGCGGGAGCCATTGGCTCCTACTGCTATTAATCACAGCCAGTGAACCAATGAGTAGAGAGGGGGGTGGCAGGGCCACGGCTGTGAGTGTGAATGGACACACAGAGGAGCGGTGCCCCCATAGCAAGCTGCTTGCTGTGGGGGCACCCGACAGGAAGAAAAGGCCAGGAAAGTCTGCGGGGGACCCGAGAAGAGGAGGATCTGGGCTGCTCTGGGCAAAACCACTGCACAAAGCAGGTAAGTATAGACATGTTTATTATTTTTTCCTTAAAAAAAAAATAAGCCTTTAGAATCACTTTAAAGTTACATGAAAACTGGAGATCAACTTGAAGCTTCTTTTGTGAATTCCCCCTCTAGTAGATATAACAGAATTACACCATTGTAAAAACATGACACACATGTGGCAAGGGGTTTATTTTGTTGCGCCTGGTGTTGGGCTTTCAAGCAGTTTAGAGGCAATAAACACTTGTGCAAGAAGAGATTTATGATGTATAATAAAACAGATTAATCTGCCTTTCACATTTAGCACAAAGTTTAAAAACGTGTAATAAAGTTTTTTTTACCTTAATGCACTCTCTTCAATAAGGTAGAAAAGCTTTGAAATATTACTCCCCCCAGCCCCCCAAAAGCTTACTTGAGCCCAATCTCGATCCAGTGCTGTGAAAGAAAGCAGTGGCGCTCTACTCTCCCTCTCCTCACTGGACATGGAGGCAGCAGCAGGAGGCATCAAATCCAGTAAAAAAGGAGCAGGGGAAAGCAGGGCCCCGTCGCGCTACGCATGTCTTTAGATGCGCACAACCTGGCTCGGCAGCAAGCCCACAGCTCTTGCCCCCATAGGAAGTGGCTTGCTATGGGGGCAAGACACTGCAGGTTAGAGTTGACTATGCTGACAGGGGACCTAGGAAGAGGAGGTTCAGGGCCACTCTGTAGAATACTACTAGGGAGAAATATTCCAAAAGGCACACTTGTTCCAGTGACAAATATCTCATTTTCTTAACTTTGTAGAAACAATTGGAAGTGAGAAGAAATATCTTGGGCAGGAAGAGGGAATTCTACCCAATGGGACACATTTTAAATATTGTTTAAATAACATGATACTGAACAATAATGGTGAAGCACAACATTACCAAGCATCCGCCTGCCCTGCTCCTGGAACTGTTTCCTCTTTTTGCGCTCTTCTTCTATTGATTTCTGTCTGTCTTCCACCTCCAACTGTCTGCGTTTCAGGGCTTCAGCCTCCCGTTCTGCTTTGGATAGGAATTTCGGCTATGCAACATCGAATAGGACAGGCATAAATTCAATGTTTATGTTGAAAATGTCAGAGTACCGATTGGTGCTCTTTTTAATAAAAATATACTTCCAAATATATATTAACAAAAAATAAACCCTTAGTGTAAAAACAATTGCATTGTGGATACATTATTCTTTAGTACAGCAATAATGAAAACAACGTATGTGGTTTATAGTTACTTGATTGACCATCACCATCCTCTCATGAACAAAGAAGATTGCCACAACAGTCTATTCTTTGACATAAAGACAATTAAGATACCAGTAATGTTCAAGTTCTAATAAACATCTGATGCATTTGTCTACCTTTGATTCAGCCTCCTCTTCTTTCTTCTTCTTTGCCAACAACTCTTCCAGTGAAAGAGGCTGTACCTTGGATGCACAAAAACAAATAATGCTCAGCTTGCAATAAAGAATTCAGTACCTAAAAAGGTCACAGTTTTCTAATAATAATCTATGGCAATATTTCTTTATTAAACAAATTGTTATTGTATTTAACGTGCACCATCTGAGCCCTCAGCTATAGTAGTGAAGCAGATGAGGGACATATTTTATTGGCACAGGGATGCACATATGTTGCGTGCATCCCCATTCCAGTAGTCCCATTCGTGTCTATTGGGACACAGTGGCTGCACAGATGCACCTGCATGGATGTAACATTGGGACACAGCAGCAGTGTCCCAATTGACATGAATGGGACTGCCAGCAAAGGGATGCATGCAACACCTATGCATCACCATGCACATAAAACACTGCCCTACATGGGACACAGATGATATCACCCCATATGAATGAGGCCATACTCTCTACAGAAAACATTCCTTGCAGAATAATATAACTCACAAGTTTTACATGTCTAACTCTAAATGACTGCACAGGGCAATACTGTGTACAAATGTTCACCTTTGACTTCTTCTCAGCTTGAGATTCCTCCTCAGATTCCTTCTTTAGATCTTTTTCTTTTTTAACTTTGACCTCTTTATTGCGGCTTGGAGATGGGGACCTAAACAAATAAAAATAGATATTATGCTATGCAAAACCAGTGTTCAACAGAAATATACAGGCAACAACACAGAACAGGGTCCTGTTTATTTTACAGTACCCAAAACGTTTGTCTGTGTTTTAGATGCAGTAGAAAAGGCAAGGAAGCTCTGTTAGATTTTTTTATTTTTATGTCCTTTCATCTCTGCAAGGGAATGAGGGTAAATCTTCCCCATAGAGACGGCAAATTTAAAAAAAAAAAACAAAAAAAACATTTTTCTTCAATTCTCAATTTTACTGGTAATGGGTGTCACTGACTTCTGGAATTGAGGGGAAATGTCATGAGATACATATAACAGTAAAAACTTGAACCTTATATACAATATTCAAAAACTTAAAAAGTAAATTTATATTTCTACCTGCCAGTGGCACTTAAAGTCAACAAAAAGGTATTAAGTACAGATACTAGTCGGTGGCACAGGACAGCCCCTTCAATTTCTGTGCTAAACAAAAAACTGTCAATAGAACACACTGTAAATGAGTGCGTTATCACACTCTGTTGTAATAAACCTGTGAGACTGAGAGCACACTGCAGTACTAACTTGAAATGAATATCTGTTGCTCTTAAAACTAAAGCAAAACTAACCTAACAAAAAAATTTACATGGAGGCAGGGGTTTTTGTAGAATGTGGTGCATGCTAGTACATTATGGCAAAATCTTACCTTGAGGATGGTTTAGTTCTGATAATGGCTACCAATGGATAATTCATGTTAGAAAAAACAAAATACAATACATTCTTGGTTTACCTGGATCTTTTCTTGTCCTTGTCTTTGTCCCGACGATGAGCATCCTTATCTCTCTCTCGATCTTTCTTTCTATCTTTCTGTCTTCTGTCCCTAAAACCCAAATAATAGCACACAATATTAGTGAAAACAAATCTGAAGAGGTTTGAGGGCATGTAAAAAGGCCGGTGTCTCTATAGCACTATTTATAGAAAAAAAAAAAAAAACTATGTCCACAAGGTTTAGGAGTGTGTCTATGGGAAGGTTTGACCATTATTCCAGAAGCACATTTGTGAGGTCAGGCACTGATGTTGGACGAGAAGGCCTGGCTCACAGTCTCTGCTCTAATTCATCACAAAGGTGTTCTACCTGGTTGAGGTCAGGACTCTGTGCAGGCCAGTCAAGTTCCTCCACCCCAAACTCACTCATCCATGTATTTATGGACCTTGCTTTGTGCACTGGTGCGCAGTTATGTTGGAACAGGAAGGGGCCATCCCCAAACTGTTCCCACAAAGTTGGGAGCATGAAATTGTCCAAAATGTCTTGATATGCATACGCCTTAAGAGTCCCTTTCAATGGAACTAAGGGGCCAAGCCCAACCCCTGAAAAACAACCCCAAACCATAATCCCCCCTCCACTAAAATCTTTACACTTGGCACAATGCAGTCAGGCAAGTACAGTTCTCCTGGCATCTGCCAAACTCAGACACGTCCATCGGATTGCTAGACATAAAAGCGTGATTCCTCACTCTCCAGAAAACATGTCTTTACTGCTCTAGAGTTCAGTGGCAGCGTGCTTTACACCACTGCATCTGATGCTTTGCATTGCACTTGGTGATGTAAGGCTTGGATGTAGCTGCTCGGCCATGGAAACCCATTCCATGAAGCTCTCTTTGCACTGTTGTACAAATCTGAAGGCCACACGAAGTTTGGAGGTCTTTAGCTATTGGTTCTGCAGATGGTTGCCGACTTCTGTGCACTGTGCGCTTCAGCAAGCGCTGACCCCGCTTTCTCAGTTTACATGGCCTACCACTACAACTTGCTACTCTTCCCAGTTGCTTTCACTTTGTTATAATATCACTAACAGTTGACCGTGGAATATTTAGTAACAAGGAAATTTCACGGATGGAATTATTGCACAGGTGGCAACCTATCACAGTACCACGCTTGAATTCACTGAGCAACCCATTCTTTCACAAATGTTTGTAGAAGTAGTCTACAAACTTGGCCTAGATGCCAATTTTATACATCTGTGGCCATGGGGGCTCCCAAAAAAAAACCAAAAAAATGAAATGCATGTTTTTTTTTACCTGCAAAAAAATGTGCCTTTATTTATTTCAGGTACTTATATAGCGCTGTCAATTTACGCAGCACTTTACACATATATATTGTACATTCACATCAGTCATTTCTTCATTTTTTTAAAGATGAACTTATCCTTTAACAGAACAGCTACCAGAGTCTGACTGGCTTCTCAGCATGCACTTGTACTGGGCACCCAAGAATTTCCGTGTGTGAGGGAAACCTGAAGGAATAAAGGTTTTTTTTATATCTCATTGGGGTCAGCACCTCATTTACTCATGCAGCAAATGCAGCTTCTGCTGAGTGTTAAGAGAACTCAACACTCCCCTTTCCTGACTTGCACCCAATCAGTGCTCAGCACAAAGCAAAGTCACTCCCCTCCCTGCTAGTCTCTGAGTGCGGTGCTGGAGACAGGCAGGGAGGTGAAGAGAAACAGCCATGGTAAAAACAAAAAAAGTTTAAGTTGCCATAAAGCCCCTTTTGCTTTTAAAAGCCCCAGACATTCCTAAAAGCACCTCAGATTTAAATACATTTTGTTTTTTTTAAACAAAGAAAGATTGGAACCCCAATTAAGTCCTGAACAAGTATTTTTTTTTAATTTCCACATGCCTGTACAACTAAAACTTACTTTTACCTGTCCCCAACTTACACCAATGAATTGGACCCTCTTTAAAAATATTTCTGAAAAAAAAAGAACTGTCAGTCCGTCCTGTGGTAGAAGGATTGTTGAGACAATTTTTCCCTGAGATTTATTAATAAAAAAGGCACTGAGTGGTTTGATTCTTAAAACAAAATAAGTTGTGTGTATTCTACTATAAAAAACAGCAGAATTAATCAAACACTGTTCTCATGTCACACACACATACCTTTCATTAGACTTGGAGCGAGAACGGGAACGGCTGCGAGATCTTCTATCCCTAGATCGATGCCTCTTCCTGTCTTTTGATGGAGAGGTCTTCCTGTCACGCTCTCTGTCAGCGGAGCGAGAACGGGACCGCTTGCGGTGCTTGGATGGCGATACATCTCGGTCGCGCTTATCAGTCAGCTCCCCAGCCATCTTTACAGAATGACTAGCTGTCACAAAGAAACAACCAAGTTATTTTACTGGTTAACACACATATGTATGTATACAGACAGAACAGGAAACTAATTCACACGTTTTAGACCATACAAAAAAACAACTGCTAATAACTGTAAAGTCAATGTGTTAACACATTACAACACAAAAGGAATACGGAGCACAGCAATTAGAAACAAAAATATGTAATGGTCAGGCATGTATTTCTCCAACAACCTGTAGAACTGTGGGGAGGCCAGACAGAGACTGGGATTATTACAAAGCTCAAATGAAAGACTTATACCCAACTTCAGTGAACTTTAAAACACACTTATGATGAGCTTGACCAATTCAAACTAGTGATGCATGGAAATGAAAATTCTAGTGCTGAACTTATGATTTCATTGCTATCACATAGGGGACCAATAGTCCCGTACGTGATAGCATAAAAGTGACAGGTCCTCTTTGTAGAGGGAGGAGGGGGGGCAGTGTATGCAAGGAGGGGGCAGAAGAAGAGCAAGGCTTTCTCACTTGCCACCGCTCTTTTTAAAATGCAATTTCCTGCTGTTTTTTCTACACTTTATAACTGCGAGAAGGAGCTGTCTTTCGCCCCGCTGCTACAGTAATCAAAGGGACGAGTCACTGGGTAATGTCATTGGGTGTCCCTTCCCCATTGTTTACTTTAGCGGTGGGGTGAATGACAGCTTCTTCTTGGAGACATTGTGAAGAAGAAAAAAGCGGGCAATTGCATTTAAAAAACGGCAATGACATTTAGCGGCGCCAAGTGAGGGAGCATGTCTGTATATACTGCTCCCTCACTGTATACATTGCTTACCTCCTCTCTTGCCTTTCTCCACCTTCCCCCACCCATCTGCAGTACTCACAGCCCCCCAAACCCTCTGGCCAAATAGTCAGTCCACCCCTGATTGGGGCCAGAGCTCGTTATCGAGACCTGTATCGGCTCACTTTTTCCAATCGGCAAAAATGCTGATAGGGCTATTTTCAGCCGATATGTCTTGGCCACCGAAAGGGTCCCTTATGGGATGAAAAAAAAATTAAGTAAAAAAAAAAAAGTTTTTCATTTTAATTGTAAAAATGAAAGTTACACCAGAGCACATAACAACACACACACACATATATGCACCTTCAAACATAAAAGCACACGCTGGGGCGCCTACACATGAAAATGTCGATTGCGACACACATTACATATCGCCATGCACGCTAAAATGAGAGCAATAATTCTAGCACCAGACCTCCTCCGTAACACTATACTGATGACCTAGAAGGGGCTTTAAAAGCGTCACCTATAAAAAATATAGGGTACTGAAGTTCGTACCCATTCACGAGTGCATGACAAGTTGGATATCTATTTACTCGGAGCAACCTCATCTTTTATATTTTACAAAAAATAGGGTAATTTATTGCTTTTTTTGTGCCCTAAAATTAACTAACTTGTATGTTCTACTGAAATTTTGCTGTAATATCATGCGACATGAAAAATTGGAACTACCACTATTTTATTCTCTAGGGTCTCTGCTTTCAGAAAATGTATAATGTTGGGGGTTTTATGTAATCTTCAGGCCTAAAATTATTTTTTTAATCTTGTGCAAAAAACACAAAAACGGCTCTGGCCGCGAAAGGGATAAAGGATAAGGCGGACACTCCCCTTTCCTGAGAAGCACCCAATCAGTGCTCATTACACTGCAAGGTCTCTCTGTTCCCTGCTAGTCCCTGGGTGCGGTGCAGAGAGGGGAGGAGGAGATAAACAGCGCAATGTTAAAAATATTAAACGTTTAAGTTGCCATAAAACCCCTTTTGTTTTTAAAACGTTCCTAATATCACCTACAATTTAAATACGGTTTTGGTTAAAAAGAAAAAAAATTTTTTATCTGGACAAGTAGATTGTCATGAGGGATAAGTAGATTGGAACACCGATTTAGTCCCTGGAAGTTTTTTCAAAAATGTCCACACCCCTGTAATGATCAGATTATTTGACGATTTTTGGTCTGATTTTCTCATTGTGTGTACTAGGCATTTCTTTATTGTTTTATTTATTACAGGTACTTATATAGCGCCATCAATTTACACAGCACTTTACATTTGGGCAGCACAGTGGCTAAATGGTTAGCACTTCCGCCTGGCAGTACTAGGGTCGTTGGTTCGAATCCCAGCCATGGCACCTCCTGCCTGGAGTTTGCATATTCTCCCTGTGCCTGCGTGGGTTTCCTCCGGGTTCTCCGCTTTTCTCCCACACTCCAAAGACATGCTGGTAGGTTAATTGGATCCTGTCTAAATTGGCCCTTGTATATAAATGTGAGTTAGGGACCTTAGATTGTACGCCCCTTGAGGGTTAGGGACTGATGTGAATGTACAATATATATGTAAAGCGCTGCGCAAATTGATGGGGCTATATAAGTACCTGAAATAAATAAATATATATTGCACATTCACATCAGTCCCTAACCCTCAAGAAATGTACAATCTAAGGTCCCTAACTCACATTCATACGTACACATACTAGGGCCAATTTTTAACAGGACCCAATTAACCTACCAGCATGTCTTTGGAGTGTGGGAGGAAACCCACACAGGCACAGGGAGAACATGCAAACACCAGGCTGGTGGTGCCATGACTCGGATTCAAACCAACGACCCTAGTACTGCCAGGCAGAAGTGCTAACCATTTTGCCACTGTGCATCCCATTAATGACACCAATGGCCCATAAACTGGGCTTCTATTAGGGGAGGACCAGAGAGGCTCTAAAGAGGGAAAAAAAAACAGATATTCTTCACATTTCCTTAGCTTTTCATTGGAAAGGCTAATACAGGTATTTAGACAGATCTGTATTTAATTTTTCAATGCTCATGAGAGTTTCCTCATTAAAATGGAACTAAACCCATCCACTTTATGTTTTCTCAAAGCAGTTATCTTCAAGACATGCCATGAATACTACCTGTCACAACTGCTTGTGTCCATTGAACTGCCAAGGGGGCATGTGCTGCTACACACACAAGGTTTTTATCTTCATGCATAGAATACATGAAAGAAAAAAAAACTTGAGCCTTTAGAACCACTTAAAGGTGGAACTACATCCTCCTATCTTTTACATCCAAGGAAGCTGCCATCTAATGCTGGTCATACATGTATAGATTTTCAGAAAAGAATATTCATACAAAAATTCTTTGTATATATCGATGAACGTGGTTAGAAAAATTAATTGCTTTTAACCACTTGCCCTCCTGAGGATTTACCCCCCTTCCTGACCAGGTCATTTTTTGCGATACAGCACTGCGTTACTTTAACTGACAATTGTGCAGTCATGCAGTGCTGCACCCAAATGAAATTTATATCCTTTTTTTCCCCCACAAATGGAGCTTTCTTTTGGAGGTATTTGATCACCTGTGCGTTTTTTTATTTTTTGTGGTATAAACAAAAATGACCAACAATTTTGAAAAAAAAAAATTTTTTTTTTTTACTTTTTGCTATAAAACATATCCAGTAAAAAAATTAAAGTCGTCATAAATTTTGCCAAAATGTATTCAGCTACGTCTTTGCTAAAAAAAAAAAAAAAAAAATCCCAATATGTGTAAATTAATTTATTTACGTGAACGTTATAGCATCTACAAAAGGTGGTATAGATACTGGAATTTTTTTTTTTATTCTAGTAATGGCAGCGATCAGCGACTTATAGCGGGACTGCGGCGGGCATTCTGACACGGGGGGGGGGGGGGGGGGGGGGGACTGAATAACTGTCACTGACATCCCCAGTGTCACTAATGCAGTGATCAGTGCTAATTAAAAACATTGACACTGTGCTAATGACACTGGGCAGGAAGGGGTTAACATCTGGGGCGATCAAAGGGTTAAATGTGTGCAGTTTTGCTATTTTGTATGTTTGCTTTACAATGTAAGCATGCTGCTATGCAGAGCAATACAAAGCAGTATGCTGGTGCTGACATGGGAGAGATCTGTGTTGTTTACATACAGACCTCTCCCCCGTCAGTGTTCCTCAGCGATCGCCGGTGCAGAAATTCCGGCCAGGAACCGGTGATCGACAGCTGTAGCCGCCAATGGCGGCGCAGGTAGGGTGGCACGTGCATACCCTACCTGGTGATACAAAATCACATACGTATATATGTGTGATTTTGTGCAGCCCTGCCACAGTAATTCTGCTATAGGGCGGACGGGAAGCGGTAAGTACACCATGGACTGGGGAGGAGGGGAGAGCGTTCCTTTACATTTTCTATGATAAGAACGAAGCATTTAGGTTGGTGACATGTCCTTCTCATCACCCAATTCTCTAATCACCATCATCCCCAAGCTCCAGGCGCAGGGCCGTATCCACACTTCCCTGATACAGATATGGAGGTGTGCTGGGACTTTGCATGATAGCATGTCGGGGGGGGGGACGAAAAGCAATGCAATCTGTGGCCTGGCTGTACATGGGACAAGCATACAGTGGATGATCTCCAGGACACCAGTGTACCCCCAGTCTGGACATCCTCCTCCAGCACCGTGGGGCCAATGAGGTGTACATGGACACAACACACAGGGCAGGCGGACCACTACGAACTAATGGACATAAGGCACAGAGCCTCAGAAATGTACCTCGTCCCTATAGCACTGATACACTGACAGTCCACTGTGTGAGGGGACAGGTCCTCGGCTCTGTACTCCGCCGAGGACAATCACCAACAGCTGCACCTCATGGCCTCCTCCATGTACATCACTTCTCACCTCAACTCCGCCACTCTCTTCTACTGGAACGTCCCTCTTCCGTTCTCACCAGGCCGCCATATTACTTACACGGTGCACGCCGGGAAACCAGGACGCAAACTACGTAATACGCAATAGTTACCCAAAACAAACTACAAATCCCGGCATGCAGTTTGCTGGGAGAACAACACCACAGAGGTCTTTGTTACAGATACGGCGCCCCAAGCGGCTGGGAGTAGAAATCACAGCTGTCACTGCTTACTGTGGGCCCGGGATAGTGG